AACTCACGACCTTGCACTTGCCAGGCAGGCGCTTTTGCCGCTGAGCTAAATCCCCAGCCCATAACTATGCATTTTTAGATATAGGCTGTGTTTACTTTCAGCATGTGTTAATACTTTTTCATTTCTAAATGAACAGTGATGGACAGAAAAAAATAGTAAGGAAATAAACACTTTTTACACCTGTGTATACTTTTTACCCAGCCACCTCCATCAGTATATAGTTACAATTTCTCAGCAGTCGAGACTAGTGAGCAGGAATAGTCAAGTTTTTCCTCACCTATCCTATTTTGGGAGACTATATAGGAATAAGTAGAAAGTTGAAAAAATAGTAATAAAAGCAGGTAAAGTCTTTTCAGTTTAAATGACAATTCAAAGTTTATGAAGTAAGAATATTAGCAAATTATAGTAAAAGTCCATTGCCTTAATTTCACAATGTCATTAAAGTCAACATTTTTTTAAAAAGGAAATGGAGCATTGTACTTTTCTGCTATGTGTTTTCTTTCTCTTTCATTAAAATCCAGCAGGCAGATGAAAAGATCAGCTACTGATGCATCACACGTAAGAAGTTAATTTATAAAAGGGCTTAGAAATTTTCTTTTCACCATTACCTTTTCTATGTTTTTTGTTTAATCAGTTAGCTATCTGAAAATACCTATTCTGGCATTAATTTTTTACTTAAAAGCAACGATAGTCAGTCCATTAAAAACCAACACCTGCTGGGTGTTGTGGCATACACTTGTAATTGTAGCGCTCAGGAGGCTGAGGCAAGAAGATTGCCACAAGTTCAAGGCCAGCCTGGGCTACAAAGTGAGTTAAAGGCCAGCCTGACCTGCATACTGAAACCCTGTCTCAAAAAAACATTTAAAAAAATTCCCTTAGGGCTGCAGATAGAGAGCTTGCCTAGCATATGTGACACCCTGGGTTCAATCCCCGGCCCTGCCAAGAAAATTTTTAAAAGTCCTAAAACAGGACAAAAATTATCAAACTAGTACTTGAACTTTTGACATCAAGTAAACAATAATGAATATAATGGCTGAGAAGGAACCATGGGCTATGGGCTAAAAACAGTGGTAGCTGTTTCTTCTTGGAACTTTATACAAATGTGAAACAGGCAAAATCACTGGTTTGGGTAATGGCTCCGTGGTACGGCACTTGCCTAGCATATGGGAGGCTCTGGATTTGATCCCCAGCACCACAAAATGAAATATAAATCAACACACAAGTGAAAGAATGAAAGTACTTTTATTAGTTCAACTCCCACCTAATCATTTTGAGTTACAGTCACCTTTGCAGTTTCCTAAATATTAAGATCTGTACGTTCAAGGAACAATTTCACAGGGTTTCCAAACAAAGAAATATGAGTAAATAAAACTGATTCTGTGATGCAGTTAAAACTAATTTTTCAAGTTGGTTTTCTCAAGAATATGTATACATGAAATAATAGAAATGTGTGGATAAAAATTATGCATGGTCAAGCTTAAGTATCATCACCATGCAAGAGTTACTTTACATGCAAATTAATACACAGTTTATTCTCATGTGGTAGATTCTACGTTTATTTCCTTCACTTTATTAAATGTACTTTTATCATGAATAATAAGCTTGAATTAGGACCTATCTGAATTACCATCAAGTACTATTTCTTAAAAATTCCAAAGTAGCATGTCAGAAAATGACTTTTTAATGATCCTAAAACAGGAAACAAAGTGACGCACCTTTTGGAGGATGGAGTTTGTGCCCGGTTTTCTCGCACCACCCAACTGGGTGAATGTCCAGCGCATCTGCATTCACCCAAAAGTCATAGCAATCAGAATACCCATCAAAGTGCAGCTTTATTCGGTATCCACAGACCTGGAACAGGGAAGCAGGTTGAGACATTAAAAGAAACCATAATATTTGTCCATACCAACAAAAATAACATAGACGTCAGGTACATACACCCTATGCTCATCAAACCACCCCAATAACAGCAGCAAAAGCAACCACACATTCTGGCAACACCTCTAGTCCCATTAGGAGCACAGAGACCGGGGTGAAGAACCACTCTCCCACGACACACATCCTCTCTCCCATCGCTAACTTGTCTCAGTACCAGCCCCCACGGTCAGGTGTCAGGGAAGCTGCCAGACTAGGTACAGGACCAGTGCCTGCAGGACCCGGCCACTGACTGCCACAAGCCCAGGCTGGTGCTGAGACATCACCTGGTTCTCCCCTCCACTGGGTGCTGGGCTGGGAAACAAGAAAAGCCACTCCCAGCTCCTACTCAGGCAAGACAGGCTCCCTGCAGCCCTAGGAAGAACTTGCTCTCTGCAACACACGCATCAGTCATGCATCAGCTGCAACACATGCAGCTGTCGCCAGAGTCCCAGCTGGGGACATTCTGGGCCTCCAACACCTGAACTGGCTCACGCTCGGTCCTGAGCTCTCTGAGACAGTTCAGCCCCTCTGTGTCCTTCTCACCAGCAAAAGCAGATGTGTTCGGGGCAGTCACCCACACCCCAGACCTCCACCCACTCTGGAACAGCTGTCCTCCAGAATCTTGCACAAGAAAGGCACCTGAGACAGAGTGAGGCAGGGCATTCACCCAAAGCTAAGGAGGTCACTGTACAGTTACCATAGCAGAAAGACCTCTACAACGTACTGCTAAAACTCAAGTGGCAGAACAAATTATACAGGATGAGTCAGCTTAGGAGAAAATTATACATGTGGGAGTCAGTGTGTGTGTACTGTTATATACAGGACAGCGTGTATAAAGAAGTGTGTAGTGTATATATAAAGTAAACCCATTTATGCACATATTTACATACACACTAACACACGTCTCTCTGCATATGTAAATTCATAATAAAAGTCTTCAAGAATGCAGAGTCCGACAAAAGGAATGTATGCACACTTCAGGAAAAAAAAACTGAAGTGCGCATATATATTTTTGGCGGACTCTGTATTTGCCCAACTATTACCAATGATTTCTTTTGCCAAAGGGGAGTGAGTGAGAAGGGAAGGACATCATGCCTGTTTTTTATCATTTTATTTTATTTTTCCTGGCAGTACTTTTTCAATTAAAAGATACTGCCCTATTGCACATGTGAAACTGGCAACAGAGCTGAGCCTAGATCCCCAGTCAGAAGGACCAGAAAAGTAAATGTTGTGGATTGATTCAGGATGCTGAGGCAGTCACAAGGTGCAACTAAAGACATGAAAGAGGACTTCAGGACTGGTTCAGAAGGTGCCAACAATGACGAGATAAGTGTGTTCCGAGTTAGTGGGGGTACTTTGAGGGAGATTATGGCAGTGTGTCTTTACTAAGTTTTAAAATTTCAATATTCACCCTAGTTCTTGATCACACCACATATGTCACAAAAGCTGCAGAATATCATGTAGTCTATCATTTATGTGTGAAAAAGGAAAACATCCACGCACATACGTCACAGACGTAGAAAACACCTGGAAGAACACAGTCAGCGGCTCGGGGTTCCATGCTCTGTGCTATGTAGGGATGCGGGAGATGCGACGCACACCAGTGTTCTTCTACTAGTTGTAGCTTCACAATCACAAACCTAACTTCTATAATATGACAAGGTAAATATCCTTCAGAAACCAAGCACTGAAACCCACACACACTATTAGCAGGCCCTTCTCCTAGCACTAAACTTCTCAAAAACAGTCTCCACTTAACTGGATCCAACTTCCCAGAGAGCTGCACCAAATGCCCTGGCCAGGGATACAATGCCTTCGGGGCACTTCAGCAACCGCAGCGTGGGCGCTGCCTCTCCTCGCTCCTCTGCTGGGCACGGGCCTCCGTTTCCACAGCGTCCGCAGCCCCTCTATCTCCAGCTGCTGCTCTGCAGCGTCCTTGCCCAGCTCCCTGCCTATGGCCAGTACTTACGGACACGTCATCCCCTCCCTGGGAGTCTCGTCCACCTCACAGGACAAACGCCAGCCAGCCACCTACCGAGAAGCCTGGCTCTCCCACGCCAACCCACAGGGATCCAGCACAGAGTTCAGGAGGACAAGACACACAATGTCCACGCAAACCGCAAGAGCTGCAGGACTCTCACTTCTCCAGAAAAGCTTCAACACGTCTCTCTCATTTTCTGAGTACAGTAAGAAAATTCAGCCCTTCCTTTCCCTGCCTAGTACAACCATATGAACTGCAAGTGACTTTAGCTCTCGGGGCCTTGGTTTTCTCATGTGAAAGATGAAGCAGCTTGCTGCTTTGAGAATGAATCTAAACTCAGAGATGGGAGGCACTTTGCCTGGGCTGGCAGGTGCTGTGCTCCGGGTTACAGTGGCTATTGGTCACTGGGATCGCCACATCCAGCCTTGCAGGTTTGCGTCCTGCAGCAGCAGGGAAAGAACACTACAAAACCACCAGCACCAGGGGCCGTCGGATTCTTTGGGAGGTAATATTTAAAGGATGCCCAACCCTGGCTCAAGAGAAAGAGCAAGGCCAGCACAGGAGAATAAAAATGCAAAAGGATGCATTCTCAGTGATATCCTGGAGTCCTACTATGTATGGATACAATTACATATATTTGACTTAGTTACATTTCCTAAAATTTTCAGAGACACTCTCAAAATGCTACAGAAAATAAATATCTGTCATCCTATTCCTCATGTTAAGGAACACAGTAGTCTGGAAAAGTCTCTGGAGTCAGATAGAACTGGGTTCAAATCCTGATTCTACAACACCTTGAAGCTGTGTGGCTTTGACATGTCACTTCATTTCTCTAGGCCTCAGTTCCCTCATCTATAGAATGGGTACAAGAAAAACCCAACCTGCACAGGGTAGAATTCTGATGCTGATCAGGTGAGATGATGTACGCAAGAGACTAAGCACTGTGCCTGACATGAAATAAGCACTCAACCAATGACAAATTTTCTCATTACTACAGTCTCATCAAAGCCAGGCATGGCGGCACATTCCTGTAATCCCAGATATGTTGGAGGCTGAGGCAGGAGGACTGCAAGCTCAATGGCAACCTGGGCAACACCCTGAATCAACATAAAAAATGAAAAAGGCTGAGGGTGTAGCACAGTGCTTCCTCAGTTCAAGCCCTAGCACTGGAAATGAAATAAACCCAACTCACTATTTTCTTCTAAAATGAAAATAAGGCAAAGCTCACCTCAGCTACAGTGAGGACGCAGTATACAGACTGATGCTCAGGGTCCACGCCTTCCAGCTTCATCCCAACCTTGAATCCGTTCTTGTTATACGGGAAGGACTGGTGCTAGAGAGCAAAACGACAGCAGTTTTAATACCACCCTGAAGGCCTGGTTAAAAATGTGAATAACTGCCATTCTCAAAGGCTAAGCAAATACACAAATTACTGCTAAAAATCCAAAAGGAAAGGATCAGTGGAAAATGGACAAGGGTTATACACAAGTCATAGCATGAAAATGTAAGGTTTTGGAGTCTCTGCCTACATATTTGAGAAGATGCTCATCCATCAAAATTACGCCAAGTAAATTAACCTAAAATCCATTTTACCTAGCAGATTAGTGACACCGTATTGATGTCACAGACTCGGTGACACCGTATTGGTGAGGTGCTGGGAAAACCGGCACGCACACGTGTCACTGCTAGGGTAGAAAACCGGTCAGTCTCCAGCAGCGTCACAGTATCTTTGAAAAACTGGACGTTCTTTACAACTCGGCAATTCACATTTTAAGAAATTAACCAAAGAGACTCACCCATGTGCAAAGTGACAGTGTACAAGAGAATTCACTAGTGCGGACAGCAAAAGGCTTGAGAACAGGAAGCGCTCAAAGCTCCACGGAGGAGCGTAGGAGTGAAATACCGTGCATTTGTGTAGAAGGATGAAGGGATCAATGAACCGAAATGGAATAATGGAATAATCTCCAAATTGTCAAGTTAAGCAAAACAGCACTAGCCAAAAAGTGTGGGACATGCGCTGTCACCGGCTGAGGACGGGGAAGGAGGCTGTGCGTCTGCAGGCTGCTCCCCACGCACGTGACTTTCCAGGAAGAAAACAGAGGAAGTGGTCAGAGCAGTCACTCCAGGGGAAGCTAAGCTGGTGCCTGGGACAGGCTCAGGAGGGGCACGCTTTTACGTTCTTTTACATTTTGAATTGAATGATGCAAGGAATTAGCCTCGCTTTAATGTTTTAAAAAATGGGAAAAAGTCTGTCTTGTAATGGTCCAAGATTACAAAAAAGGTTACCCAGAGTAAGTTCATATGTAATTGCTATTATGTTTAAATTAAATATTCACAATGTAGATGTAATCATCCTCTCATTTACTATTCACGACTTTTTAAAAACTGCTTATAGTCGTTCGTATATAAAAGACATCCATGACAGATCTATGACATACTATGACTCAATATAATGTAATAATTTAAACAAAAGGTCTTCAAACTATAGTTTGTTAGTCAAATCCATCCACCACTAGCTGGGCAAAAGAAGCTGTGGGGAACATAGCCACGCCCACCCCTAAGTATCTTGCCGAAGGCTGTCTTCCTGCTCCATAGCTCAGTTACTAGGAGGTACTAGGAGCCCTGCAAAAGCTAAAATATTTACTATCTGACTCTTTACCAAAAAAGCTTACTGCCCTCTGTTTTGGTCTGGGGGCTCCTATTCTGAACTACACCTAATAATCTCCATTTTTAACTGATTTTAAATTACCTACAAAAAAATATTTCTATTATGCACATGTTTAGACGTGTTGTTGTTAGAAGATATAACTGTCTAACCCACTCTCAAAGCCATGATGCTGATCTAAAATTTCATGCCAGTTTTGCTTTACTAATTTTTCAGTAGTAGTATTCCCATTCAAAGTCAGGAATGCAACAAGCCTAGTAGGAGTTGAGGGAAAATAGCAAGTGTGTGTGTGTGTGTGTGTGTGTATGTGTGTGTGTGTGTGTGTGTCTTTGTGTGAGAGAGAGAGATGTGTTCATGCTGACTGGCCCCCTGGGGCAAACGGGGAAAGCAGTCGTTGTGCAAAGCGACGCCAAGTCACAGTCCCACACAGGAAGTGGAAAAGACAGGGCTGATCAAAGGGACCGTACCTCCCTGAACAGCTTCGCAGGCACCGCCACGGCCTTCTCCTCTTCCAGAAAGGATGCCCAGCACCAAGCTTTCTTGCCTTTAGGGGGCAAACCTGAAAGGCAAATGAGACTGAACGAAGGAATTTCCAAATCTACGAGTAATCAACCCCTATTTGGTAACCTCTCACTGCCTGGTTCCCTTGTATTTCCATGGCTGGCATTTCTCAGTCTCTTCCTGGCTCATCTTCCAAGGGCTGCGGGCTGAGAAGCGAGCCACGGTAAACATTCCAGCTCCAGAGGCAGAGAAAGAAGCGAATAACCCAATACATGAAGGAGGCCAGCAGGCAGCCAGGGCAGAACAGTACCTTGGAGCCCATAGGAAATGAAAGCTTCCACAAGTTCTCTGAGCCCAAGCAGCTGAGTGCTTAGTGCTTAGGGAATCGCTGCTAATCTTGGAAAGGCAGACACAATAACTGAGGTAGTGAGAGTCTGATTTTCAGGTAAAAAAAGAGCACCTAAGTGTTAAATGGGGGGGGCAGTCAATGTTAATTTATTTTGGACCACATAACAAAGCACTGGAAATGAAGGAAGGAGTATAATAGCTTGATTGGCAGCCAAGTTGTGGGGAAGTATCTGGGTGATGCACCTGAACAGGCAAAAGCAGAGACACAAAGAAAGAAAAAAATCTGAATATTTAAAGAAAAAAGCCAATAGGCTAGAGCAGAGTGGAAGACACTGAGGTCTCTGTGGGAAGCAACCCAAGGTCCATTCCAAGGAAGGGGACAAGTTCCTCCAGATGAACGTTAAAGGGAAGGGTCTGAGGGCCAGGATCTCCAAGAGGACAGAATGCTGCTCAAAATCCAGGCAGTGCAACTCAAGGTTGTACAGTCCTGAGCAGTGAGCAAGGACAGGTTTTGGTAAAGACAGAGACACAAGTACCATCTCCCTGATGGGAAAATAAGCACAGAAAAGAAAGCATCCTGTGCTTAGGCTGAAGCTACTTCCAGGTCACCAATTTCCCCTCATCTACTTCCTCCAAGCCTTCACTCTTCTTCAAGTCACTGCAGAGACTTGAATACCAGGAGTGAAATACCAGTCAGCCTACATATCTACACACAGGAAAAACAACGGGGTGCATGTGTTCAGTTTGCTTTCCCATCCTTTGGAAGGGATTTTGATTTCCTGGGAACAATTCCATCCAGGAAGAAATGTGACCACCTATGTCCTCTTTCTTCATAGTCAAATACTTTTAAAACTTTGTGTGTGTTTCTGAGACAGGGTCTCACTATGCAGTTCAGGCTGGCCTTGAACTCTCTTTGCTGCCGAGGCTGGCCTCGAACTTGAAACGATCCTCCGATCCTCCTGCCTCAGCCTCTCGAGTGCTGGGATTACAGGCCTGCGCCACCACACCCAGCACTTTTAAAACCTAAATTTCCTATTATAACTATAATGTATGTTAATCGTATAAACTAATGGGTTTCACCCTGGCATTTCCTTACACAAATATATTACCCTCCCTCAAGGCCTTATTTCTCCTGACAAAACTGAGTCAAAGATAAACCCAGTGCAAGCCCACAACTAGGACCACACGCAGAACAACAAAGACAACAACTTCTATTTGTGTGAACTGTGCTTCAGGTTTACCAGATTCCCAGGAAATCCTTTCTCTCATCAGCTCACCCTGCTTCAGGACAGCCGAATCCCCTCGTCTTTTCCTCCGGGCTCTCTGTGAGCCCCTCAGGATTCTCCCGTCTTGCTTGTTCTCCTGTGGCACACGAGGAAAACGATGACTTGTAAGTTCATGAAACTGGCAGCAATGAAAAGTTCGACTGCTGGCAGAAAGCTTTTATCATGGTTGGCCTTTTTTTCAATTTCACTTTCTGACTTCCAAAGAGAGTAAGAACACAGCTCTTTTGCAAGCCTTGTTGCTTTTGGCTCAAGGTCGTAAGAAATGAAGATAAGAATTATGCCCTGGGAGGGCAGGGTTGCTCCTCCCCCCTCCACCACACTTTCTCCTCCTAATTGCACACTCACTCCACCCTGGTTCTCCTCAGACCTCGCTGGCCCCCCTCTCTCAGGCTCCTCTGCTGACATCTCTGCCAATCCAGTCTCTTCACTAGCTGTCGCCTGCCTTGGGCTTCACATTCATTTCAACGCCCAACTCCCAATCGTGATCTCCACTTTCGTGTGATGGTTGATAAGCCTCTCAGACTCCGGGTTCTCTACTCCTTGCTCGCCTTCCAAGTGACACGATCATCCAGCCAGTGGTTCAACCAGCAACCTAAGATTCTCAGAACCCCTGGCAATCCCACTTCTTGCAGTGGTCCCCAAACCGCTGCCTTCTAGCTTGAAACTTCTAACTGGGCTCCCAATTCTATTCTTGCTCACATACCTCAAGGCTACAGTAGTCATTGAAAACATAAATCGTAAGTCCCTTGCCAGCAACTTTCCTACGGCTTCCAGTTACACTCTGGGAACAATGAAGGCTCCCTGCTCATTTACCATAAGCCACGCCTGACTCCGAATCACACTTCTTCAGCAGCATCTCCCTCAGAACTGAAGGCTCCGCTATCTTATCTCTTTCACATGTCCTTGAATAGAACATGCTACATATACTCCCACCTGAGGGATTGTCCCTCGATATTTAGTTGCCCTAAATGCCCAGAGCAAGTTCCTCATTTTTATTCAGACCACACTGTGGCACCATCCTTGGGAAGCCTGACCAAAAACAACTCACAGCAGTCAACCAATCCTAATGCCTTATTTTAATTTTATACATAGTTCTTAAGATGAGCTGATATTTCACCTGCTTGTTTTGTTTGATTATATGTACCCTTAACAAGGACAAAACATCTCCAGGAGCCAGGTGCAATGGCCTAAGTCTGTAATCCTGGCTATCTGGGACCATGAAGTAGGAAGACTGCCAAGTTAGAGTCCAATCTGGGACCCTATTTCTCAATAAAATTTTTATAAATGTTGAAGATGTAGCTCAGTGGCAGAGCACTCATCTGGCATGTGGAAGCTACTGGGTTCAACCCTTAGCATGGAAAAAAAAAAATCTCTGCAAGGAAAAACCATGTCCTCTCTATGAATCTTATTCTTCTCTGTATTCCAAGGTCACAGAATAGCAACTAACAATTAACAGGTACTCAAAACTGATCAAAGACTCAAAGTTCTCTCCTCATATTGGAATCATTAATACTTTACTTTAGCGAAGATATTTAAGTTTTCATCAGTACATTTTGAATGTTTTCCTCAAGTACACTTGATATTTATGTGCCATTTCCTAGTCGCTCTCATAGTTTTATGGGATCTGTCTGTAGTTTATCAAAATGGATTGGCATTTTGCTAGTGAGGGGAATTTAAAATTCATGTACAAAACTTACGGCTTTGTTGTTGCCTTTTCCCTGAGGAGTAAATTTCAGGGTACCCCACTTTTTCAACCAGAGAGAAGGCCTCTATTATTTACTATTACCATTTTGAGAAAAGAATAGTGAGACATAGACAACTTGGTAACTCACCTACAGTGACAATTTCAGAACCAGCACTGAGAATTCAACCCACTGGTCCAGAGTCCTGGTTGTGACAGTGACAGTCCCCACTCAAGTGCCACCTCTGGGCTCCCTGGTGGCTGCAGAAAAGGTACTAACCATTTCATCGTCTCTCTCTTCTCCATCCTCCTTGGTGTCAGTTTTCAGAGATAATTTTGGTTTTTTCTTCCGACTACACTTAGAATCCTCTTCCTCATTGTCTTCTCCTGTGTCCCTCTCTTCCTTCTGATCTCTGTTGTGTTTATAACCCCAAAACAGTGACAGGAAACAACACCTATCAAACATCTACATGGTGATTATCAAATGCAAAAATTATTTTTAAAAACTCACTCCCCAAAGGAAAATATTTCATTACCAGGAGACAATCACAGGCATTAGATATCATGTACAGGGAACACTTAAAATCACTATGACATACGACATGGGTCAGGGTAGAAAGTGGAAATGATTGTGCGTAAATTTCAAAAGGGGCTCAGCAATACACATGAAATAGGCTCTAACGAGTTTATAATTATTTGTCTACTGCCTCTGCCAACTATACCAATAAAAGAACTAATTATTTAAAGATGCTTTGCTTCAGGGCAATGCCAAAGCAAGGATCTATTATGAAGAAAGGCAAATCCAGCTGGAAAAGCCAAGTGCAACTTTGGAAAGCACCAGGTGGCCTACAGAAACAGTTCCCAAGGTTGTGCTGATAAAAACATGTGAGGAGCTCCACTGAGACATAACCGTCCAGTCACCTGCTTATACTCCGTAACAATATTCATCCATATGCCTTCTTGCTGAGGAGCTCAACTTGGAGGGGCGGTCACAAGTGCTACCAGTCAGACCTGTGTCCTCAGCCTGGACCCGAGATCATCCCAAAGCGACTCACCCACCACTCACTGCAGTCAGTTCCACCCCATAGATAACCCACCCATGGGAGCTTTGTCCCCTATGTGGAGTTTTAACTGAGTCCCAAATATGAACAAAACTGATTTTTCACAAATCTGAGAGTATTGTCAAATGTATGTGCAGCCCGGAAAAATCTAAATGCTCTTAGCAGAGTAGCGATCAAATGAATGGAGACAGAGGCTGGGGCTGAGGCAGAGGCTGCACCGCAGGAACACATGATTTGGCATACAAGTTAGACTGGGCGGAGAGAAGTCTCTGGATGGCGAGGTCTGTGTCTCCAGAGAAATCTCCGGGGGCGGGGGGGGGTGTTCAAAGTAAAACAGAAAACTTCATATAGAATTGTAATTTATAAGGTATCTTTGATAAAACTTGAAAGGGTCATTATAGGACTTCACACTTGTAACCCCTTTTGATGAACAATTTGCTCTACTTAACCTCTACAAGCATAGGCACCATGACCTTGAACCTAAAACCCACTTTACAGATGGAACAAGGCAAAACCTACTTGTCTTTGATATGCCGAGCACAATTCTGGCTGCAAAAGCTTCCTCCAGAAAGGCACTCATCTGCATTGCTGTACTGACAACAGTTCTCACAGAACTGAAGCCCATCTACTTTCACCGGTTCTTTCAACCTGAAAGGTACTCCAGTCTTCTCTGAAAAGACTAGAAGATCAAAAGAAGAAGAAAAGAATTAAAACTGTGACAGAGGTGTTCCAAAATATAAGTAAACTTTTTCTTCTAATCATTTGGTTAGCAACACACTAGGGGAGAATGTTTGTTGAATGAATTGTTAAACTATAGAATCTGGACTGCTCAAACCATTTATAGAACAAAAAAGCAACTGGCAGAAAAGACATGAAAAGCTTATGAAAGGCTTTTTCTACAGTGTTCAAAGTAAAACAGAAAACTTCATCTAGAATTATAATTCATAAGGTATCTTTGATAAAACTTGAAAGGGTCATTATAGGACTTCGCATTTGTAACCTGTTGATGAACAATTTTGTTTTACTTTTAACTAAATCAGCATCTCTCTGTTTTACTTCTCATGTAGTAGTTTTCTTGAATCATAATTATCCAAATCATTTAGCAGCTCACATTATCCTTTGCCTACATCATTACCAACCATTCATTCAACAAACATCTGTTAGGCACCAATTTACACTGGACACTGATAATGACAGTAGAGGCCTTGCCCGAGACAGCCTCACAGTCCAGAAGAGAAGACAGCAAGGACACTGATGCTTATAACATATGTGATGCATGCAATAACAGAAGCACGAACAAGTTCTGGAAGGAGTGGAAGGGAGAAGTGATTCTTTTGGCCTGGAGTGAGATCAGAGAAGAATTTTGTGATACAAAGCCAAGGCGTGTGACGGTCAAGGAGCAATTTACTGAGTGGATAGAAAGAAATGGCATTTGAACCAGAAAAAAACAGCATGAATAAGGCAAGAAAGCACGAAACCACAAGATGGGAGGGGGGTACACACAATTCTGTGCTGCTGGCACAGTGGGAACACAACATACAAAGCAGGGACAGAGAGGAAAGAGACAAAGCAAGCAGGAGGTGCAGGTCACCCAGCTCTTTGTATGTTTTGCTAAAGAGGCAAAGAGAAATCAGCAAAGTATCAGATAAGCAATCTACACAAGTTCCTCTGACTTCAGGGTGGAGAGTAAGGAGGAAGAAGGTGAAATCAGAAGTACAGTGATTACTGAACAGACCCCTGCAATAGTTCGGGTGAGAGTTAATAAGGGCCTAAAAACTAAGGCAGTGGCAAGGATAATAGAAAAGGCCCGATCCGGGACACACAGGAAATAAAACCAAGAGCTTTAAGTGACGGGGACAGGGACGGGGACGGGAAGAACAAACTCGGGACGACTCCTCTAATTCTTGCTTGCCAGTGTGAGGATGGCATTACTATCAACTGAAGTATGAGTTACAGAAGAAAGAGCAGGTTGGGGGAGGGGAGGAAGAAATAGAAAATGAACTGCATTTCAGACATGTGGAGTTTGAGGTACCTGTGGGACATCCAGGTGGAGATGTCCAGTAGGCAGGTGGAAATACGGGCCTGGAGCTCGGGGGGGAGGTCGGGGCTGGAGATACAGATTTAGGAGTCATCAGCATATAGGTGTTAGTTACAACCATCGGAGCAGATGAGAAAAAAAAGTGGCAGGCTTCTGGCTAAATAACCTGGGTAGGCGACTACGGCTCGGACTGACTCGGTAATCCTCAACTAACCTTGTGCTATTACAGATCTGGCATTAGGAAAGAAGACAGTTTATAGTTACTGTAAAATATAAAAGCCGACTCCTATCAGTTTCATTACAGAAATTTATCTAAGCACATGAGACCCAGACAATCATCCAGCCTACTATAAAACCTCAGATATTCTTATCTCAAATCTTTCCATAGGAAGAAGTAAGATGCCGAAGGCTCCTTCTTACCTTCCTGAGCGGTCGGTACCATCCAAGTGGTGGTAGCAGTTGCCTTTTTAACGCTCTCCATCTCACTCTCATCTGTAATAACTTCCAGGGCTCCAAACTCATTGACCCGGAACTGGAGACGACACAGCAGAGAGAGGCCACGCTACAGAAGAGCTCGGCACAGCGACTGTGTCACGGCTCACACAGTCTTTAAACAAATGTACTGTGTGTTACAAGGTACTTTTAAAAAATTAGACGGTGGATATGCCTTCTACCAATGCAAAGAACTTTGTTATCTTACTCATTTTGGAACTGGGGCAAGCTGTATGTTCTCCACCAGTGACAGCGAATCTTTCAGAGACTGAGTGCCCCAATTGCAACCCAAAACTCACTTACTTATCAAAAAGTGCCAGTACTGCAACTACACCTGAATATTGAGGTTTTGGTTTAGAAGAAGCAACTCATACACACCTTTTGTCTTACAAGAAAAACAAACAAAGTCATAGCAGTGGCCATAGGTTCGCCACCACTGTCCTACACGGTTCCCGTTTATTTGTGTTTTACTTGCCCTTTCAGACACAGTTATTAATTACTAAGACTTATTTTTTATTTCATTTTATTGCTCATTTAATTATCCATTAATTTAAAAAATTATGTTTTTCTCAGGAATCAAATGACCTCACCAAGCTCAACCAGTTCAGGAGAAGAAACTAATGGCTCCTGATAGTCCAAGATGAGAGTGGGCTAAGCAAGTTCCATCCCTGCTCCTCCAGGACTGCACTTCCCCTCCCCGCGCAAGTGTTGTTCTCCAAACCCTCGGGAGATAACTGTGACCGCTGACCAAGTCTCTGGTTCACTGGTTGTGTCCACTTTTATCCCTGAAAAGGGCATGGGGTTTTGATTTCCTCGACATTCTCATTCATAATTTTGAAAATTTCCTCTCATCTCACAGCAAGCTTTAAACAAAATATGTTTCTGTAACACACAGCAGGGTGTGTGGTGAAGTCTTCACCGCTAGCTATGTGTGGGAGTCCTGTTCTTTCTGAAACATTGAGGTTTATTCTCATGATTTTGTGAATTGAAAAGTTTTCTGATTTATTTCTGGTTTTCTACAAAACAATGGCAGGAGAGACATGAATTTTAACAGATGGTGAACAAGTGCAAAAGCAAAAATTCAAAAGGACAATAAAACTATCTTAGGCCTTTCATCAAAACACATAGATAAGCATGTAAATATATAGTATTTAAGCAAAGCCTTCCATTTTCAACCTAAAAAAATAAAACTATTTGGTCAGCATGCCAACTAAATTTTTATTTCATTCAATGATATTCTCATGCTAAGTCAGAAAAATCTTAACCAATAATTATCCAACGTTATTGTCTCCACCAAGTGTAAACAGAACTTTAAACAATTTTCTATGCACAGTCTACAATTATTGAATACTTTCGAGGCTGCATGAGTTGAAATAGTGGAGGAAGGTGAGAATGTCTTCTCCCAACTATGCATTCCAGTATGAGTTGCCAGGTAATATGTCTGTAGTACATGTCAGTTTAGGAAGTGGTAAACCGTAATTAGATGGGAAAGAACTAAACATGACTTTATTTTTTAGAAAAAGACATCTTGAGCTAAGAAAGCAGATTCTTAATGATCAAATCTGAAAATAGAGTTATTTCAAAATAAGGCTGACAGTACCATCTACTGGGCAAGAGTAGAAAAAACAGGCCATTGTGGTAATTATTAATTAATGATATTAAAGAAAGTGAGAGAAAATAAATTCTGAATTCAGAATTTTAAAAAACAGGCACAAACTTTATAATTCATTTCAGGTAAGTAATTTTACTTTCATGACATGTTACTGATGCTAATGCATTAAGTTTGCCTGACAAATACAAAACATGAGAAGTGGCCTCAAACATTGACATTAAACTAAAAGGACCCTGTGGCCGAAGCTTGCAAATTGTTGCTAGCCTGCAAGCCACCCTGCTTTCAAATGCTGAGAAAGAGAAAACCACGGGATGTGACATCCAAGAAAAAATGCAGAACTATGGTACTGGAAAGTGTTTCCCTCAAATACTTTAAAGCTAAAAGTTAAAACCCCCATAATGTAACACTCAAGCTCAGTCACCTTTTTCTTCTCCTGATATGAACTGCCAAAAACTGACCCATAGCCGAAATCAAATTAGAAATGCAGTGTCATTTAGAGACACAGGGAACTCTGCTAAGTCACCGATCCACAGACAGATTTCAAAAAGTGATGCATGAATATGGGCTAAGTGATGGTCCATGCATATAGATGGGGGTGGGGGTAAGACTCATCAGATCTGCAAATGCATCCTATAATCCTGAAAAAGTACAGCACATCTGCTCTTTCTGAAGCCACTCATCTCAAAAATTATAAACCTCAAAGCATTTTCAGAGTACCCCACCACATGCAAAAACATATACAGAAGCTATTCCCTGGCTTCTCCACTCAGATTTCCTGTGTCTTCCATGGAATCCCTACTGCAGAAAATGTTAGCACGGTTTCCAGGCACTGCTAACCTCACTGAGGTCCCAACAGAAAGCTGCACAATGACCGACCGATTTCCTAACATTTCTTCCCAATTAAACATTCAGGTCCTGAAATTGGTAAGGCTTTTTACAAAGCTATTTTTTAAATTATCAGTTCTTTTAACCTAAACAGCTAAAACAAAAAAGTATGAAAATTTATCAAGTGTTTCTATTCTAACAAGCAATATCAAAATTAAAAACTTTACAAAAGTGACTTATTAAGTAAATGAAACACGACAGCTGCATGTGGCTGCATCCAGGTCAATCAGCAAACAATTATACCTGAAATATGTAAGAGCTGGCTAAGGTCTTGTTTGGTTTGGCTTGAACTACCTTTAATTGATTCAGTTCTCTTTATTTCTTTTGCCTACTTTTGCTTATCTTTAATAGATCATTAAGAGACATGGCCAAGGGTGTTACTTTTGTTTTATTACTTTCAGTGTTGAAATCTGAATTCTAATTACAGCACCAATGTGTGTTAAGGGCAAAGATGTCCATAACTTAACTGTTTTAAACATTAATAAGACCAGGCAAACTGTGCATTTAGAGTGAGGTGAATTTTACTGCTAGCCTCTGTGCTTCAGGGTCTTGCTAAATGGCAATTATTCTTACTAGATAAGATGCTATGGCTCTCAGTAGACTCTCTACATCTCACCCAGGGACTCTGAAACTAAATCCGTTTGACCCACAGGAATCAATCCCTGAGGGTAACTTCCAGACACCATCAGAAGTTCAGGCATGCAAACTACTTGGGCACAGGGAGCCCTGTCAAGCACCTTCCCACCGCCGCTCTGTCACGTGCCTGTCCTTGCGGCTGGCCCTGAGACATTAACCTACAAGTATTTATTTGCATTTTGGGAGAACAAATGAGGCAGCGGTGAAGCTGCCCAAGCTCACCGAGGTAGCCAGAAATGCCTCGTTAGTGACTACTCTGCTTCCGGGAGAGGCCCTGCACCTTGCTGTTCCCCTCAGAGCCGGTCCCTCTTCTGGAAGCCTTTCTCCTGCGGCTGCCCCTGAAGTCCTGGAAACCACCACCTTCCTCCCTGCCTGGAGCCCAAATGATACTACCTGCCTTTCAAAGCCGTCCTGATTGCTGAGCCTGAGACGCGTTTTCACCACCTAAGTCCCTGGACACTTTCCTTGTATCTCTCTTGAGAGGAAAATGTTCTCTGTCTTTAGACAGCAGGAGAGCAGCGCTAAGAGAATCCATGTGAACACCAGACAAGCCTGGGTGTAGGACCCAGTCCTAAGGAGCTAGTCACGCTGGGCCTCCATGCGAACTAAGATGGACACTACCTAAAACCGCTCCATGCAAGGATTCGGTGAAGATGCGGTTCCTGCTGCTGACAATAAGGCCCCTCCCCTCCACTACTGCACCCAAAGATGCTGCGTCCTGTTACCTAAGGCCGTTATGCTCCAGGCTGGAGAGAGGAAGGGAGGCTTCCAGCAACAGGAACAGTAAAAAGTGCTCAGAGTGTGGAGTAAGTGAGTTGTGGCCAAAGAGGAAGGACAGTACGGGGCCCCATCCCCGCTCCCCCGGAAGTTAGGCGACTACAGTTCCGCCATGGAAGATCCTGGCCGCAGATCATGAAGCCACAGCAGCACAGCAGCACAGTGTGAGCGGCCAGCACTCATCCGCTTCCACCGAGGAAAGTCCCTTCAAAATGGCAAACACTGAAGCATATGAAAACCAGTTCCCATGGCAGAAAATGGACCTTTATGCACAAGCTCACACACCAGCTGAAGGAACTTCGCTGGTTGTCTTAGGCCACCACACTGTGAGAAAATTCACAACCCTTACTAAAAACCGGAAGCCCATATGGTATACTATAGGCAATGAATGATACTACAGTATAAGTTTCATGGTTTATTCAAAACTCCTTCCAATATTTTAATTCCATGAAAAATCAATTTTGCAATCAGCTCTCTTAAGCAACTTAGATTTTAATGCCAGGAGCGAGTGAATTAGAAATCCTAAGCAACATAATGAATGGGCCAGTCTCTAAATCTCAGATCAAAAGGGTCATAACATCAAAACTAATTTTTAAAGTAGTTTTTAAACATGAAGTACTAAGCTGTTTACAACACAGAACATGAAGTGAACTGGACACCTGGCAATTACCCCAGTAATCAGGTGAATCAAAAAATCATATCAAATAATTCAGATTGCAAAGTCTACTAATGGTTTGATTACCTGATTAATCATTTAATTACCTAAAACTCATTCCTTAGAAAATGGGAAAACAACCCAAATTACTTAGAGATAGAAACTTTAACATCAGTGCTAGCTCAACAAAAGTTATAAATTTTCATCATCCCCCGGACATTGAAAGAAACAGCCTCTAGAAAAGGAAAGAAACATGTACAAGAAAAATTAAAAAGTAAGGCAGTAAAAAAGCCATTTGCATAATACACTGCAAAGCCAGAAAATACACAATCTTGTTAAGCATATACATATTTACATTTATTTTAACCTTCATAACTTTATGATCTTGAATCTTATAGATTCTAACAGCCTCATTTTACAAACAAGGCTTCCAAAATTTAGGATTTTAGATAATTTGACAAAGCTCAGCAGGGCAATATGTAGTTGACATTATGAAAGTTGGAGAAACAATTTTTCTGCCTCAAAAATTTTCAAAACTCTATCATACTGTATCCAGATGGACATTTGGGAAATGTCAGATAAAATCCTCAGTAGTCATTCAATTCATCTCATGCAGAGGAAATTTGAAGCAAAGAGATAACTTGAGTTGGTCAAGGTCACTAAAAACCCAATTTCTTTTTTAAAATAATTTTAACTGATACATAGCATCTCTGCATATTTATGGGGTACATTATGATAATTCCCTACATGTATACAATGTACAGTGATCTAGTCAGGATAAGACACACTTCCACCTCCTCCAACATCTATCATTCTTATGTGTTAGGGGACTTTAGACTTTGCATTTTTACTCTGAAATATATGTATATGGTTCAAGACTACAACCACCCCATTGTACAATAACCCCTCGTATCTAACTGTTCTGGCACCCATTAAGAAAAATCAACCCCTTCTCTACATTTCATGAAACTGCATTACAATATTCTTTTACCCTGAACTCAGACGTGGGCATACTTCTCTTCATTAAACTTAAGCTAACTAAAATCTCAGCTGTTTTTCCAAACTGCACCACTAGGGAATGGTAAGGGCAGGCTTGGATATGATACTTGCCACAGCCACCAAGAAGATAGATTCCAAGAAACCTGTACTACAGGGCAGATATTTCTATTTGAGGCAGCACCAATCAAGCACTGGAAAGAAAAGTCCAGTGCCAGCCTGGCAGGGAGACAAGAAGTTCAAACACCTGAATGACCAGGTACAAATTCAAAGTCTAAAGGCCACAGATAGGTTCAGGGTCTCAGACACGGGATCAGAGGAAAAGCAGATTAGAAATGGGAAGCGGGGACGGCCGTGTCCCCAGTCAGGCGCTTGCACAATTGTGCCTCTTAGGGCAGTGCAGGTGGCCCTAGCACAGCTTGGGCAAGCTCAGAACGGGTCGAGGGCGGTCACCTCTAAAAGCAACAGGCTGAGGCTCCTGAAGACAGGTCTCATCAACCCAAAAGCAGTCTGACTTACAGGAATCACCTGCTTCTGAACATGTGACTGTAGAAAACTCCATCACTTACACTGGAAATAAGTTAAGGGAGACAAATAGCCCTATTTACTCAATATTTTAACATTTTATAGTGTTATTAAATGAGAACACTAAGATACAGAGAATGGGGTTACTCGGTTACAAAGCCAATACTACAAAAGCTCCAGAAGCCAGGACTTCTGAGACTGCCACTTCTACCTTTCTAGCCACCATGACGGAGTCCAAACTAAAACAGTCACACAGATCAATCTGCAAAATAAACACAGGCTGCAGAATGTCTCTCTTCCTCGTCTCCAAGTGACAGAAGTTTCTGCTAAGCCACTAGCACTTCAAACTGCATGTGAGTTTATTACAGATGTCTAAGCATTATATAAAACCTGAAAGAGCATGCACAATGCTTTTAATTCTTATTTCATGTGTGCGTTCATTTTAAAATAAACACACAGATGTGCACGCACAGGTACACACACAATTGCGTGTAATAAAGACAGCTTACCTTTAAGTCGCTTCCGGGTAAGGTGCCCACTCCATCTTTCCAGTCCATAACACTGAACACATCAAACTCCTGGCCGCTCGTGCTCGAGGCAGATTCAGTCATGATTTCCTTTTTAACCTCAATGGGGAGGGGGGAAAGCAGAATTACTAAATATTCCACAGACGAGTTAGTTTTTAATCGAATGATCATTACTTTGGTTTTCCTTAATTATACTATTTTCCTGACCACCAGATCCCATATCTACAGATCTAAAGGAACTGCTTTGAAAATATCTTTAATGAGGCTGGGGATGAGCACAGGGATAGCATAGGCATGCGGCCTAGCATGTGTGAGGTCCTGGGCCAACCCAGCATTGAAAAAAAATCCCCCCCCACCATACACACATACATATTTATCATTAACATCTCCCAGTGCAATCCCTAGATTATAGGAGAAAAACAGAAATGTTACGATAAACTTTTGCTGTTCTTAAAGAGAAAAGGAATTCATCGACTCACAGCATTTTCACTTAAGTTAAAAAAGGATAATGTTATATAGATAGGATTCCTTGCCCTCTAAGAAGGTTTTTGCTTTTTATTGGCACCGAAAAGATAGCAGGTATGATAAAGAACAGAATGTATATAGTAGTCCTGCTTTCTCCTTGAGAGATACGTTCCAGAACTTCCAGTGGATGTCTAAAAACACAACATAGTACAAGTCCTACATATAACTACGTTTTCTCCCCACACATACATACCCATGATGAAGTCTAAAATACAAATTAGGCTCAGTAAGAGATTAACAACTTACTGAAGTAGCAACCTCAGCATGTGACTTGGGTTTCTTTCCTTATTCAGTTGAGACGTTTCACCTCCTCACTAACAGGAAATAATTTATGACTTGTCTTTGGCATATTCCCAATCAGTACACTCAGTCGGCATCAGTACTTTGGCAGCCTGGGCCATTACTGGGTAAAATAAGGGTTACCTGGACACAAGTTTTGTGATACCCTGAGACACCTATCACGTGACACACAACTGGGTAGTGTACACAGTATGGGCACGCTGGACAACAGGATGATGCAGGACTGGACAGGACAGCACAAGATTTAACCTTGATCTGCAGAGTATAATTTAAAATTTATCACTAATTTCTAGAACTTCCCACTTAATATTTTTAGACTGCAGCCAACCTCTGGAAACTGAAAGCTCAAAAAGTGAAGCTATGGATAAGGGAGGACCACTGAATAAAATATTGATAAACCGAAAAGAGGCCATTTTGACATGAAAGCAAAAGGAAAATTCAGGCCCTTACTGACTGTCACACACTGAGTTCCTTAATGAAGTATTTGAGGAGCACTTAACTGTGCCTTTGTGCATTTTAACAAGTGCACAATGTGACTGGATGTTTCAGAAAATCCACATTCAATTCTGTTGAAATATTTACCAATTTGTTATTCTAAGGAATAGGAAAACAGTCTTAAAATAACAGCAAACACCAATAATTAGAGTCTGTCAAGATAACCAATTTGGCTAGTCAGACTGTGATAATATTTATATTTTTACATTTTAAATTGCAAAACGAACTTTTTTCCATAATCACATCATTGGTGGCAATATTGAAAGTGTTCTGAAACTGTCATCTGTTAATATGAGATAAAACAAGTCAGTAATTGGGTGGGTATCATGCACAACTAAGGATCAACGGACCTTAAATTTGATTGGAAAGTATCAGTATGAATTCCTATATTTTACTTTTAAAATACGCATATTTTCAACCTTATCCACCAAAAAAGTCTGGAAATAATCACCAATCAATGCAAAATGAGCAGGCTGGTGCTCAGACTGTGGTATCTAAATAACCATTTCTCCCAAATACCCCCCTACACACACCAGAGAAGAATCTGGTTTCTGCTCAGTGGCAGCAGATGTCCAAGAGGAGCCTGGAGCATCTTGTCAACCAAGAAGCCAAGACGTTATCATGAAAGGCAACAGAGTCAGATACAAAAACGTGAAGGAGTACCTGGCAGCCAAAGTAAGGCAAAGTGGGTATGTCCTTATCAGCTGCAGTAAACTGAAGCATATCCATTAAGTTTAAAACTATGAGCTCACAATGGTCCTCAAATCAAAGCTAGCAAACAAACAAGAACGCCTCACTAACCACCTTTGGAGGACCCAAGGAACTGATTCCTTGCTTAGAAAAACAAAAAAAGCACTTATGAATTATCTGACATGCAAGCTAAACAGGCTTCTTTTTACGTGAAATGTCATTTGCACTTAACAAACTGTTTATTTGGGTTTAGGTATGTGACATGTATTGGGTTGAAAGTTAATGATGTCAGCCAGTCCCACAAAGGAAAATAATGACAGCGTTTGTTGCTAATGATAAAATTTGCGTATTTTCGGGGAAGTTGGGATTTTGGAAAACTCGTATCCAGCAACAAGAACTTGACAGCTTTCTTGTTAAACTACACTGAGGAGAGGGGTGGGTGGCGGTAAGAACGTGTGACAAGGAAAATGTTTCATAGTGAGATCTGTCCATGTTCAGAAGATCCACACAATTCAGTGAGGCAACAGCTTCCCAATGACCGATGCACAACCTTACAAAACTGTTCAGACTGACTAATGGCCATTAACACAACAGAGTACGAAAAGCTCACTGGTGAGGTTTCCAACGACACACTCAACCAACCTTTAACAAACCACCACCGGCAAGTTTTGTGTGGTGTCCAAGAAGAATGTGCACTGTTGTTGTAAAGGCTACTAAAATACTTCCCTTTTCTAACTTCTTACAAGGGGTGATCAAAATAAGTAGCGATTATTAAAATTTTATAAAGTACCAAAGTAAAAGATATATTGCCATTAATCCCCCTCAGAATACCCTTGTCATTTCAAACACACTTAGCCCATTGTTCCTGCCACTTTCTGAAGCAACACACGCTAATCAAAAATACAGCGAGTGTTGTTGTCCAGAGCCATGCAAAGGACAGGCTGGCTTGCGTAACCATGACACCCTGCTCCCACCCGCTGCCTTCACTGGACCCGGCACCAGGTGACTTCCGGTTCTCCCCAAAGTCAAAATGGCCACGATTACAAACATTATGAGTCAACTGAGGCCACTGAGACAGCCGCAACAGTGTAACCCATGGAAAAGGACCTCCAGAACTGCGTCGAAAGTGGCAAGGAGATGGGAAAGCGTGCCTGACGTGAGGGGGAGGATTTCTGAGAAAGAACAATGGTAACGTGTAATGGTAAATGCAATTTCACTGCACCTAAAAAAAATTTTAATGTTCAACGTATTTTTCAGTCATCTACATGAAGCCAGATTTTCTTCATGTACTGACTTCACCCAAAACACTGTACTGCAACAGACAATGGGAAGGAGATATGAGAATGCAGCTGTCTTCTAGGATGCTAGATACAGAACAGGATTGCAGAGATGTGAAACGTCACTGCCCCCACGGTTTTTGTTTTGAAATTATGTCTATCATTCATAAAAATTATGCCTTCCTATTATCACATACTGGGTTTAAACTACTGTCATTTTTAAATAAATAGTCCAAATCTATTTCTAATTCAATCCCCATACAAACAATACTTCGACCTTTTAAACACTGTTTTACTGATATTCATTTTATTTATTTTAAAGAGAATAAAAAAACAGTAACAAAATAACAACAACACAGCAAAAACAACACAAAGCAAAAACAATGAAAATGATACAGGGTTTCAAAACAAAATGATAGGAATTAACAGTGGTTGTTATATGACATACTGTTATCTTCAATGAAGTTTAAGTGTAAAGGAGATGTGAGACCAAAGTCTGCAAGCCACTGCTATACGATACAAACTCTTTTTTCTCTAAGGGGAAGAAAAGAACTGCAAGGTACGACAATAACAACAAAAGGAAATCTGAAATCTAGATTAAAAGAGATCAAGACACAAATTTACCAATCACATTAACACAATTCATAGATCTACTCTAGATTCGGATTGAAACTACTTTTTAAAAATGATTATCAGACAGAAGGGGAAATAATACCAATCACCCAGTATCAGAGAAATATGGTTTTAAGGGGTAAGGATGGTATATACTTTCTAAAGGGGAGTTCTCCCTCAGATTTTTCTGATACAAACGGAAACGGGTAGGTGTGGATAGATGGACAGATGACATGTGAGAAATCTGCTATAGATTAATCAGTGTGGGTAAAGTGGTAAAATAAGACCAGCAGCATGCTGAGAATTGTCCAGAGATATGTGTAATCCGTGGCAGTTTATTATACTACATTCTAGCTTTGCATATGCTTAGAAAAAAAAAACCCCAAATTTTTAAAGAGTAGTCTCCTTTCATATGTAATATGCATTCATTATTAAATAGTCAATAGAAAAAACAAACGCTTGTGCTTCTGTAACGATAGCTATCTTCTGTTGGAAATTTCCAGATTTTTTTTTTTTTTTTGTCCTTCTAACTAGAGAAAAATATCAAACATTAGAGGCTTCAAAATGTATACAATTTGAATTTGAATAACAATCAGATTTTACTACCATTAGACTCCATCCTCAAACTAAGAACTGAGATATAAATGGCCTGAGGGAGAATCAACCTAAGAAAGTGTGGAAACAGGAAGTGAATGAAAACTTGTACTTGTGTTTTGATTGGACTCCTCTCCCATTCCAGGGATGAAGGTCAGCAATGAAACTGACTCCCTACTAAGTGACGTGGGAGTGGTGACTTTTTCCTGGTAGCCTGTATAATGGCAATAATTTCCTCCCCGCTGGATAAACTGAGCAAAACCATAACCTTTGGTGTTTTCTTACCTAAAAGTTACACATGCTTGAACTGCACAGCAGTCAAACCCTCTCCGCCTGGGAGGATACAACTAAAAGCTGGAACTGTTCCCAAACCTGCAGTAAATGTTCATTAAGAGCTTCAAAATATATCAGAATATGCTTTTGCCATACAGACCGCTAATGTTACACAGTGTAACATGACTCAGCCTGTAACCATGTATCTAAAATATGTAAAAATTGTTTCCATTCATTTTTTTTCACTCTAAGGCTTATGGATATTTTGTATTAAACATTACAGCACAGAAACATTTACTATATTATCTTTCCCATCATCTAATTTTATTAAAG